ATCTTTCTAGAGCTGTGTGGTTCTCAACCACCTTCTTAACGCTGCAACCCTTCAATACAGTTCGTCATGTTGTAGTGAGCCCCAGCCATAAAATTATTTCATTGCTACTTCATATCTGCAATTTTGCTACTGTTATGCACTGTAATGTAAATAGTTTTTGGAGACAGAGGTTTGCCAAAGGGGTCTCGACCCACAGGTCAAGAACCTCTGCTCTAGATTGAGTTAGAATCAAGCACTGGAAGCCAGGGCAAGCAACCCAAAGAGATGAGAAGGTCCATTTCCTCGGTTTTTGTGTCTATAATCTGTCCGGGCTGGAGTGTCTGGGCCCTTCTGCAGCTCCCCAGCTTCATTCCGCGTTTTTTCTTCCCAGGTCCCCGCACCGATGCTCTGTAATGCTCACTGCTCTCACTGGTCTCATTTTGCCCTTTCCCAAAGCCTGCCCCTGAGCTTCATGCACCACAATAATCAAAGCCTGACTCCGGGATTCCTGGCTTGGTATTCCAAGGAGCCCTTCCAAACAACCACCACAGAATGAATGATTGAGAGTCCTTCCTTCAAATACATTTTTAAAACCTACTTCTGGAGAGGGAGGCATGTTTCACAGCCTGCACATGCAGGTCTCGAGAGGACAGAGAACAGTTTGCAGGAATCAGTTCTCTCCTTCCACCACGGGCATCCCAGGGATTGGAGTCGGGTCATTAGGATTGACCAGAGCCTTTACCCTCCGAGCCATGTCATCGGCCCCACCTGAGAGTCCTCTAAGGTCCCAGAGAGCTTCATTTTCAAAAGCAATTTTGAAATGTGATGCCGTTTGTTCCTGATCAGTAGAATGGCTCTGGAGACTTGTGTACCTGAGCGTGTGAGAAGCCAGACCGTCGTCGTCGTCAGATGTCCTTCTCAGTCGTTTGAGACAGGATCTTTCTCTAAACTGGCAGCACTCTGAATTGCCTAGACTGGCTGATGAGCAAGCCCAGGGGATCCCGGGCTCCTCCCCGGTGCTAGGATGTGTCTCTGTACCTAGCTTTTAAAAACAAAAAAAAAATTAAAAGGCTGAGGTGAGATTCAGGAAGCTGAGTCCAGCACCCTGTTCTCCCTAATGGTAGCCTTTTCCTACCTCCTCCCTCCCCCCAACATACTCAATAAATTGTGGGAGACCTGCCCCCACTTTTTCTCCCAGGGTACTCTTGAGGAGGGAGAAGTGAGAAATATTTAGATAGAAATAGAGAGAGAGACAGATAGAAACACAAGATAGCTTTGGGAGGACCTGGATCAAAACCCAGGCCCTTTCTTTCTGTCTTTGCTAAAGGGCTTTTAAAGGAATGCCAAGGGGTGGAGCAAAAGATCCCCCCCCCCCCCAGCACAGCCAAGTGCAGACCATTCCAGGCACCTGGTAACCACGCCCGTGGTCAGTCCATCCTCTTATGCAGCCCTGCTGTGTAAAGCAAGTTCAGATCTCACTAGGAAACCTCTGTGGACCCCAACAGTAAATGCTTTCCAAGATGGGATCTCTTTAATGTTAATTATGTGTATTTGCATACCTGCCTGGCTGTACGTGCATGTGTGCTTTCCGTAAAAGGGCATCAGATTTCCAGGAACTGAAGCTACAGGTTGATGCGAGCTGCCCTATGTCGGTGCTAGGAATCAAACCTGGGTCCTCTGCAAGAGCAGCAAGCACTCCTAACCACTGAGCCATCTCTCCAGCCCCACAAGATGGAATCTTGAGCCTGTCTGCCCATGGGCTATTTATAAGTTGGTTATAAACTCAAAGCTGGGGTGGGAGGGGGGGACAGGAGGAGGGAGAGGGCGGGAAATGTGGTTGGTATATAAAATAAACAAAAAAATTTTAAATAAATAAAAATAAATTCAAAGCTGTTAGAGAAACCAAAGTAAAGGCAAATTCCTTCATAACTGACTCAAGTCCTTCCAGAATCCTTGGGTAACCTGGATGTGAAGCTACTCCTCCACGAGTGACTGGGTTGAAAGGCGTGTCCCTTACCAGTAAGGTGGCCAGTCACCTGGGCTCCACCGTATTTGTGGAAACATTTTCTACCACAAGCTGCCTTTTCTTGTTCGAAGTGGATCCATGTTCCAGAGAGTTAATAACCAACGCACCTTACAAACTGGACGATGTGGTGCTCATCAGGATGCTTAAAAAGTTGCTAATATCATGGGTTTTTTTTTTAAATATAAAAATCTGTACCATGCAAAAAAAATTGCATATTAGTTAAAAATATGTTCACCTCTGATTTCTGCCTAATTATATTAGTTAACATCCTTGACGTTTGCAGAGAACTGCACACACACACACACACACACACACGACCTTTTGTTAATGTGGAAGTAATAGCCGCTTCAGACTCTCAGGAGCAGTAGCCTCAAAACTGCAAGAAATAGGCAAAGAGCAGACACTCCAAATCTCTGGGGATTGCGCAGTCAATGCTGAGGGCAGGCATAAAGAAACGGCTGCATGCCGTTTAAACATGGCTTTGCTAGAAGATTTTTTTTACCATGAGTGAAGAGAGAAATTAAAACTGCTAAACATCATTTGACAATAAACAATTTAAGGCTGAGATATGCGTACATTTTGTTTTATTTTATTTTTGAGACAGTCTCGCTCTGTAGCCCAGGCTGACTTAGTTCTCATGAAGTAGTACAGGCTGGCCTCAAACTCCAAGGCCTCATGCCTCAGCCTAGCCTTCCAAGTGCTGGGATTATAGGCTACCATGCCTGGCTATGTTTTGTTGTTGTTGTTTTCCCCCCTTGGTGTGTGTGTGTTATTATTTGTTGTTGTTTGTTTCGTTTGGTTTGTTTGGTTTCTCTGTGTAGCCCTGGCTGTCCTGGGGGGACTCTGTAGACCAGGCTGGCCTTGAACTCACAAAGATCTGTGTGCCTCTACCTCTGGAGTGCTGGTCTGGGAGTCTCCATCTTTAACTGCTCAATAAGCAAAATAACTTCAGCTTCTCCTGAGACACAATAAAAATAAGCAGGTATTATTTATTGGGGGGTGTTTGCTGGAGAGACACCACCACAACCCGTTGATGTTTTATTTCCAGGGCCCCTCAGGAGCTCTCTTACCACACATCACTGGTCCTGCACCACTGAAGGGTTCAGGAGCCTGAGCCCTGCTGGGATCAGCACAGGCAGGCATGATCCTTCTTCCAGCTGTATAGGTTAGGGAAAGGCTAGCGCTTCCTAAGCCTGGGTAGAAACAGGCGCTTGACTATACTGATGCATATTTCACCATAAGTGTTGTGTCCCCTGGAACTGGATTATACAGACAGTTGTGAGCTGCCATGTAGGTGCTGGGAATTGAACCCGGGTCCTCTGGAAGAGCTGCTAATGCTCCTAACCTCTGAGCCATCTCTCCAGCCCTATACTGATGCTTTGTGCTGTGTTGTCATATAAGAAATCCATGGATTTTTTTAAAAAGAAAAAAATTATTTTCAAACATGAATAGTAGAAAAAGTGCTGTAGCTGATCGTCAGGTCTTCCAAGAGTGAAGTTAAAGATAAACCCAGTGACTGATAATATACGAATATTGACTTCACAAAGGGATGTGTGTGTACATGAAAGGTCAGAGGTAATTAATCCTCAGGAGTCCTCTCTCAGCCACCTCAGTTTTTTCTTTCCTGTGTGTGTGTGTGTGTGTGTATGTGTGTGTCTGTCTGTCTGTCTGTCTGTCTGTCTGTGTTGTCATAGCATCTTCTGAGAGTTGTGGAGTCAAGGGGTTAAGCGTTTTGCTCTGCAATCTGCACTGAAGAATCAAAGTCCTGAACCCTCCTTGGTGTCTTATTAATGAGCAGCGGATGAAAGGGAGACCAGCAGTCTTCCAGTGGGGGCTCACGGTACCAGACTTTTTTTTTTTTTTTTTTTAAGATAGACATGTTCCCTCAGTGGTTTTGTTGTTGTTGTTTTTAAGACAGAGTCTTAAGTAGTGCAGGTTGGTCTCAAACTCACCATGTAGCCAGGGATGACCAGGAACTCCTAACCCTCCTGTCCCCAAGCTCCTGAGTGCTGTCTTCATAGGCACTGCACACCACACTGAGAAGAGAATCCAGGGCCAGGCCAGGCGGGCACTCTACCAACAGAGCTATATCCCCAGCTCACGCTAAGCTAAGAAAATGATTTCCGTGGAGATGTCCTATAGATTTCTCTCATACACAAGGCTGCATTGGTAGTGAGGCTTTGGAACCCCTGGTCAAAAAGATGCAGGGGCTGTCGCTTTTGTTGGCTTGTGATCAGTTCCTCACGCATGGAAAACTTCAGGGCCCTGATTTTCCTAGCATGCACAGGTTATGCCCCAAACTCATGACTCCTGTTGGCCACAGCCACTCCAGATGGAGGGTTGCTTGGTCCTTGGTTAATCAAACCTGTGAAAGCAACTCAAATCAATCCCACTTGCTCTCTTTTGACTAGTCACGATGGCAACGAAGCCCGCATTGTTCCAACTGTCCAATTAAAATGAAAGAACCTCCACAAGCAACGTTAAGTTTTCTGTTATGGAAATGGGAATATTCTTCTGTGTGGGTATGTAGCAATGTGTATGAATGTGAATAATTATGTGTACAGATGTTCCTGCCCACAAGTTGGGATGCATGTATCTGGTTATTTGTAAGGAAATTTAGTAACTGGCTTAGTAAGGAAACTAAAATGTTGGACATTAAATATCTCAGTACCCGAAAGCTACACGTTATTTTAATTTAGTTTAAGATCACCCATGGTGATTCTCCTGCCTCAGCTTCTGAGAGAGCTGGGATTATAAAGTGAGCCACCACATTGGATATGGTGGGATAAAACACTCTTTGTCTATATCTGGGAACACTCAGCAGCACCCCCCCCCACACACACACACACAGGGCTTGAGTGTCTCCAGAACACTAGTAAACATGTAAGTTTAAAACACACTCACAGTAGTTGTATTTTACAAAAAATCTATATTTTAATGTGTACACAGTTAAAAAAATACAGAGCGCTCATGTCCAAGCACTCTACCAGGCCCCTCCCCCCTGAAAAATAAAAGCCTGGCTCCACCTACCACATGCACACACAATACACGGAGCATAAATGCATTTACACGACAAGGTAGCTGCTCTGAACATACACGAGACACCCAACATAACTGCACCCGATCAGAACAAACTTGCAGAGCTTAAGAAGCCATTTATTTGTCCCATGACTCAGTACCAGCCTAATGCAACCCAATTCCAATCAATAAAGGATTGTTTTCCCCTTGACACAGGGCCCCATATATATTCCCTCCCCCTCCCGAATAATGCTAGGATTACAGGTGTGATCAGCGCCCTCTCTCTGCTAGGATTACCGGCGTGATTACCAACCTCTTTCTGCCCGTTAGGTGCTGGGCTCGAACCCACAGCTTGGTGCATGCTAGGCAAGCACTCGACCAACTCAGCTAGACTCCAGCCCCATGTCTTAAACTAAAAGCGGTAGGGCATTATTTTCACAGCAGCCCCAAGTCATTCACAAGGTCTATTCACGAAATCTACAAAACGCAAGAAAAGCGGAGGAAGGAGGGCAATGAAATTATTTCATCCACGGGTCTGAAAGGCGAAGGGCATTAACCTTAAAGGTGACTAATTTCTCTCCCTAAGACTCATAGGCCACTCTAAAAACCCTGCAGCTTAGCTGGCCATGGGGAAGGGCTCAGGCTGGAAGCCGAAGAGCCTCTGGCCATAGGGCTCGGACTCCGCCTGCAGCCTGGCACCCGGGAACGGGAGGTAGGGGTGGTCTCGACCCCGCTGCTCGCAGCGCAGCCCGACCCAGTCCCGTTCGGCCTCGGCCAGGATGCGCGTGAGCGCCACGATGTAGCTGAGCGCCATCTGCAGCGTCTCGTACTTGGACAGCTTCTTGTCCTGGCCCCACTGCGGCACCACCCTGCGCAGCCGGTCGAACGCCGTGTTCAGCCCTTGCATGCGGCGCCGCTCGCGCGCGTTGGCCGCCAGGCGCCTGCGCGCCGCGCTCT